TTTGTTATGTTTATATGTATGGGTTTTGTTTTCGTTTTTTTTGCTTTTTGGCGCTAATGTAAATTGCATTGTGGTTTTAATTTCAAAGTCCTATTTGTTGCTGGTATATAAATAGGAATTACGTATATTCACTTGGTATCCTGCCATCTTGTTATAATTGTTTATTAGTTCCAGGAGTTTGTTCTTTGGGGCTTTTTACATAGACAATCATATCATCAGTGAACAAAGACAGTTTTATTTTTTTCTTCCAATCTTTATACTTTTTATTTCCTTTTCTTGTCTTTATTTCATTAGTTAGGATTACAAGTATAACATGATGTTGAATAAAAGTGATGGGAAGGACATCCCTTGCCTTGCTCTTGATCTAGCAAGAAAGCTAGTTTCTCACTTTTTTTTTTTTCCTTTGGTGGCTGGCTGGTATAGGGATCTGAACCCTTGGCATTGGTGTTACAACAGAACGCTCTAACTAGCTGAGCTAACCTGCCAGCGAGTTTCTCACTATTAAGTATGATGTTAGCTCTAGAATTTTGTAACTGTTCCTTATCACGTTGAAGTAGTTCTCCTGTATTCCAAGTTTACTAAGAGTTTTATCATGAATGGCTGTTGGATGTTGTTAAATGATTTTTCTGCAACAGTTGATAAGATCTTATGATATTTCTTCTTTAGCCATTTGATGTGATTAATTACTGTAATTGCTTTTCACGTGTTGAACTAGCCATACATCCTGGAATAAATCCCACTTGGTTGTGGTGTATAATTCTTTTTTATATATTGTTGGATTTGATTTGTTAATATTTTATTGAGGATGTTTACATCTGTACTCATGAGAGAAACTAGTCTGTATTTCTCCTTTGTTGTAATATTTTTATCTGGTTTTGGTATTAGTGTAATGCAGGCCTCATAGGATGAGTTGGGAAGTATTCTCTCTGCTTCTGTTTTCTGGAAGACATTGTAGAAATTGGTATTTCTTTCTCTCTTAAATAGTTGATGGTATTCACCAGTGAAGCCATCTGGGCCTGATTCTTTTTGGAAGGGTATTAATTGTTAATTCAATTTTTAAAATAGAGGCCTATTGAGGTTATCTATTTCTTCTTGTGTGAGTTTTGGTAGATTTCAAGGAATTGATGCATTTTATCTAAGTTATCAAATTTGTGCTGCATCCCATGAATTTTGGTAAGTTCTATTTTTATTTTTATTTAGTTCAAAGTATTTTTAATTTCTCTTGAGACTTCTTTTTGACACGTTATTATTTAGAAGTTTGTTGTTTGATATCCAAATATTTTGGGATTTTCCCAACTAATATTTCTGTTAATGACTTGAAGTGTAATTCCATTATGGTCTGACAGTATACTTTAAATGATTTCTGTTCTTTTAAATTTGTTGAGGATGCATTTTATGGCCCAGAGGTGGTCTTTCTTGGTAAATGTCTCATGTGAACTTGTGAAGAATGTGTATGCTGCTGATGTTGGAAGAAGTAGACTATAAAATATTTGCCTTTTTTTTTTTTTAGTAAAATTTCCATTTGGTTTTTTTTTTTTCCCTTCTGTTTTTATTTTGGGATTTTCCCAACTAATATTTCTGTTAATGACTTGAAGTGTAATTCCATTATGGTCTGACAGTATACTTTAAATGATTTCTGTTCTTTTAAATTTGTTGAGGATGCATTTTATGGCCCAGAGGTGGTCTTTCTTGGTAAATGTCTCATGTGAACTTGTGAAGAATGTGTATGCTGCTGATGTTGGAAGAAGTAGACTATAAAATATTTGCCTTTTTTTTTTTTTAAGTAAAATTTCCATTTGGTTCTTTTTTTATCCCTTCTGTTTTTTTCTGAGAACTTCTATCTTTTCATTTGTTTTAAGAGTATTTGTCCTTACTCCTTGGAACAGTGTTGTGATAGTTCCAAACTATTTTTTGGCTAGTTCCAACACATGGGTCATTTCATCACCTCCCCTGTGGCCAAAGAGATCTGGCTTTTCTTGGGCTTTTTTCCATCTGTGCCATTGGCAGTTCCAGTTTTTTTGGCTGCTGTAGCACCCAGGCTGTGATATAGGGGAGGCAGAACAAACCCCAGATGGATCTCACCATCAGATTACCCCTCTGGTCCTGAGATCCATAGTCTTCCTCCTTTTATTCACCTTTCAGAGGCTTCTTACAGTTGCTCCATAGGTTTCAGGCTAGGTGTCTAGTTTTAGATTTTGGAAGAGATAGGATCAAGTTTGCTTAACTGCATGTTGTCCAGAATACCAATTCTTCAATTTCTTTTGAAATAGGTTATATGATCCTTTTTGTAAATCAGTATTTAATGACATAGTATTTTGTTACTTCCCCTTTTAGAAATCCCAGAGGGAGGAAATAACTAGCACAGCCACCAGTGTGTATTCAGGTGGGACTGAAGTGACCATACCTTTTTTCTGTAAATCTGAAGAACCTGATTCTATTGCCAAATCTGTTTGTTCACCACCTATTTCATCTGGAACTGAGGACAAACCTGTAGATTTGTCTACTAGAAAGGAAACTGATGCAGATTCTACAAGCCAAGGTAAAACTAGATATGTTTTTATATCATGCATTACATAAGGTACATTGGTATGTTTGAGAAGATTGACTTTTAAAGGTGGATACTAAAAGTCCCTTGAAAACAAATTTTGAGATGTGTAAAGGCGCTTATGCCCCTTTAGTAATATTTAGTAATTATTAGTAGTAATAATAAAATCATACTGCCTTGCCAACGAAGATAATAAACATGTATTTTCATTGTTAGAGTGTGGTTATTAGGGAGTATAAAGTATTGGCCTATCTGCTTCTGCATAAAAGACAATAATTTGCTTACATGGTAATTTTCTTTGTGATAGTGTTTTCATTTGAATATTGTTTGAATTATATTATCACTCAACCATATTCAAAGTGTTCTAATTATATGTGAAGTAATTGTAGAAATACTACAATAGGAGCTAAAAATTTTTATTGTACTACTTAAATGTTTCTTTTTTTTTCCTACCAGCTTGCTAAATTAAGTACTCTGTTAGAGTAATTAATATTTGGTGTTGCTTTCTCCCTTGTTTTTCCATTTCAATTTTTTTTTTTTTTTTTAGATAGGGAAGTGTCTCTTTAAATTGTATTGCTTTATATGCGTACATTATCTACATTAACTAATTTTTTTTCAGAAGTAGTCCTAAATGTCACCAATATCACATATAATCATTTTAGAGTCTTAATATGCTAGAAGAAGACAGTAACTTCACACCTAAAACAGTATATGTTTTCTGATAAAGGAAAGTAAGGCTGTAGAGCTTTCAGAGATCATGCAGCTACACATTAGCAGAATTGACAAGACTCTGTAACTCCTGATGACTAACTATAAATGAGACATTGGGTATTTATGAATTTACTTACAATAGGGAACACAAGTTATTACACAGATGTTTCCTAAAAAACTGACTTTGACTGGATACTTGTTTTAAAATATAGAAGACTCTGTAAAGCAGAAACTATATAGTTTTATATCTGGTTTAGCATAAATACTTCTATCTCATTTTAAAAATTTTTGGCATGCTTTTGGTATAGTATTATTTTCATTGGGATTAGTACCTGTAAACTTAATACTAAAGAAACTCAAAATTAGATGTATTTTGTAACTTACCATATTATAAATGCTAACCCCTCTCTCCTGTAGTATAGAATAGAAGGTCTTATTCTCTCTGGGTCCTGGGTAAATCTTTGATGTTCAATATATATTAAGTGAAATAGTAAATTGTTCTTTTCATTTTGCCAGTGGAAAGCAAAGCAGTTTCATTTGGATTTGGAAATAGCACAGGGCTGTCATTTGCAGACTTGGCTTCCAGTAATTCTGGGGATTTTGCTTTTGGTTCTAAAGGTAAGATCAAGAGGAGAGATTTTAATGATCACATTATAGAATCAAGCACAGCTGAAAGAACTAGTTCTTTGTTACAGTGTTGTAACTAAATTGGAAGTTTCTTTCAACCCCTAGCCCCCCATTTGCTTATTGTTTTAATAATGAGGCTTCTGCATTTTTTTTTGACATTAATATAACCATCAGAATTTTTTCTTAATTTAGTGTAAGTCATGCTGATAGTCGTTACCACGTTGAAACGTACTACCATATTTTAGTTTTGGAATGACCCTGACTTCAGTAACATTCTTCTTTGAACTATACTTTTAGATTTGATTTATTAATATTTCAAGATTGTGAATCTATATTTTTTTAAGGAGGTAATCATATACTTTTCTATTTTTATACTATCTTTGGATTTCAGTATTAGGGCTGTGCTAATTTACTGTCCTAAGTGCATTTTCCCATCTTTTCCAGTGTTGTTTCTATTTTTAATCCATTTTGGTAACATTTCTAGAAAATAATCCATATCCTTGATTGTTTCAAGTTTATTGGCATAAGGCTATTCATTATATTTTGTCATTCTTGTAATGTCTTTAATATCTGTGGTTATTGCACAACCCAAGTTGTTCTTGTACAAGATGTTTGATTTGTGGAATAAATTTTATTGAAAATACAATATGCTTCAGTGATTAATGCAATCCAGAATACTGTTCTTCTCTCCCACATATTTACCCTTTTTTTCACAGCTCCTGCCACCTATGGAGACATTTAAAGCTTTTAGAAATTTCCTTCAGATATGATGTTGTGTTTGAATTCATGGCTTCATTGATGTTTTTTGTTTAGTTTAAATTTATTAAATAGCCCGAAATCAAAGGATAATATATCAGGAAATACAGCAGTACAGTGGGTACAATTACCCACAAAAAAAAAAGGCTAATAAAAATTGATGTTAAACTGCTTGTCACTCAGTGTTACCTTTTTAACGAACTGTATCAGTATAGTACCCCAAAGTGTGAAATACACAAGACTCAACCATCAGGAGGCAGCCATGCCTTACAGCCTTACCCACTGACATTCAGTGCTTACCACCACTTGTCATTTTTAGTGAGATTATTCACCAGGCTCTTTTATAAACTGTATTTTTTATTTTCTTCCCAGGTTTAATAGGAATTTGTGTGCTTGTCTTTTCATAGAAGCAGCTTTTGGTTTTATCAATTCTCCTTTTGTTTGTATTTTTTATTTAGCGTCAGTTTTGTCTTACTTTATTTTTCTATGTTGAATACTTACTTTATTTAAATTAGATTGCGCTTGTGAAAAACACTGTTTGAAACTATAAGTCCCCTGCAAACAGTTTCTGTTTGTATCGCATTGGTTTCATAGGAAATCTTTACACTTTCATATAAATTTCCAGATAATTTAGAGTTTCAGTCTTGTTTTCCTCTGTGATTAAGAACTTGAAGGGCTTAATTTTTTTTAAGAGTTCATAAATTTCATCAGAATGTGGGTATCTTTTTAAAAAAATCTGTTCCTGGTGTTGCATGGACCTTTTTGTTCTTAAACTTTTTGTTTTGCTTAAAGCTCAGGAGGAGTTCCTTCTCATTGCCCACTCCTTTTCTTTCATACTATTTACATGGTGGTTGCTTTTTCTTCGTCTGTTCATTTTTCTTTTTTTTTTCCTTTTTTGTCTTTTTTCGTGTCCGGCAACGGATCGCAACCCTCAGTGTCACGCCCGTACTGGACCGGGACCGGCAACGGGATCGCAGCCCTCAGTGTTGCACCCGCACCTCGCTCAGCCAGTGAGCAGGAACCGGTCTGTATGTGGGATCTGAACCCTCGGCGGGAGCGCTGCTGCACTCCCAAGCGGTGCACTGTAGCAGTGCGCCACCGGGCCGGCCCCTCATTTTTCTTTTTTGTTCTTTTGTTTTCTTTTGGTTTTTTGGTTTTTGTATTCATATTTTTCTGAAAGTCCTATTCACACAGATCTTTTGATTATTCTGTATTTGTTGTGTAGTGTTTCATATGGAAACTAACAGAATAATAAAGAACACTTGTTTAGCTACTGCCCAGCTTTGACACAGATTGCCATTTTGTAATATTTCCTTCAGACTTTTTAATGTTTTTACTAAATGTGCACACACAGCAGAAGCTTCCTAAGTATTCTTATCTAGAGCTGTCATATTTTTACTTTATAGATTCTCTCTTCCGGTCCCTTTAGGAAAGTGATTTTACCTGGGAGCTTTTTAAAAAGGATGGTCTGATAGTTATATTGGCATCTGTGGGTGTGGGACCCAGACATTGGTGTTTTACAATTGCCCTTACTGTCATTCTAATGTTCACCTAGGGTAGAGAAGAATTTTGAATTTCTCTACCACATATCCCTTGGGGTTATTTTTTAGTTAAATTTCTGCTTGGGGGTTCCTGAACAGTTATTTTTGAGCCCCAAACCTGTGTCTCATCCAGATCAGTGGTAACTATTCTCAGGAAACCCTCATACAACTTGAGGTTGTGATTTTCTTGTTTCTGGTCATTCCTTTGCAATATCTTCTTGTGTGTCCTTAAGAATTTTTGTCTTCTCACTTATTTTGATATTTTCCCTCTGCCTTAGAAGGAATTGCTATTTTATTAATTGTGTCCTTCCTTCAAGGTGCTGAGTTACCTATTATGTGATCTGTGACATTTTTGCTTTTTATGAGTTTTTAGGAGCAGGTGTAGGGTTCTGTAAGGCAGTGATTCATCAGCAAGTAATGAAAGTTGAGGTGCTTCTTTCCTCTAAGATACGGGGAACATATTAGGCTGAGTCATCTAAATTGAGGTGGTTTTCACTGTCTTCTAGTTGTGAGAAAGAGATCATCTTTGTTCCCCTGAACGGAAGTGGGAAGCCTTTTCACTCATAACAGTCTAGTATTCCTTGAGGGCAGTTGGAGTCAGCGAGCTTCTATGGCCAAGTAATCTAAGCTCCAACAATAGCTCCTTCAGTACAGAAGTTATAAACATGTGCTTAGACTACTGTCGCTAGTTTGGAAGTAGCATGATAGTTTTTGGGGCTGGCCAGATAGCTCAGTTGGTTAGAGCTTGACCTTGTAGTACCAAGGTCAAGGGTTCAGATCCCAGTAAGGGCCAGTCATTAAAAAAAAATAAAATAAATTTGAAGATAGTTTTTGGTTCAGAAGTTATTTTTCTCATGTCATGAAAAGTTTTATGAAATAAACTACCTTTGAAAGCTGAGCTAAGTTTTCAAAGTTTTAAGGTATGAACTTTTAAGAACCTACTTCGTTACTGGAAGTTCTTGTGTAGTTTAGTATTATGAAGTTTACCTGAAGCAGTGACATCTTATCTTTGTATCTAGAAGCATAAACAGTACTAAATGTACTGTGTGCTTGCTACATGAGTTGAACTTGCCAGAATAATATAATTTTAAACATTTTTAATAGATGTGTATATCACATTGTTGGAAAGTAGATGTATTGATAAAGTAATTGAAGGAGGGGGATTAAAAAAAACTTATAAGAGTAGATGCCACTATTTGAATATCTTCATTTATTCACCAGATAAGAATTTCCAGTGGGCAAATACTGGAGCAACTGTGTTTGGAACACAGTCAGCCAGTAAAGTTGGTGAAGATGACGATGGTAGTGATGAAGAAGTAGTTCATAATGAAGATATCCATTTTGAACCAATAGTATCATTACCAGAGGTAAATATATAAGGAATAAAAACTTTACTAATAACCTATTTTTGGAGGGGGTTGAGTGGACCTTGACCTTGGTGTTATCAGCATCGTGTATTTTTGATTTAAGTTTAAAACTTATCCTGGCTTGATTTTTAGGGGTATTGTTGTCTGCATTTCTTTTAGAACATTTATAATTTGAAATGGAAACTTTATGAGACATCCAACCTTTAAGTATAAATTGTCTCTTTGAAGTTTTTGTATAAATGCTGCTTGGTAAATTCTATATGCAATCATTGAGAAGAAATAATTTTTTTATATGTTGTTAGAATATTATGTTTGTTTTCATAACATAATTATGGGGACAAAATATACCTAATATGTCATACTTGCCAAAGTCCTTTTAATAAAAAGTAATCTTTGTATTTTTTGGACAAGAATGTTGTTTTAAGAAAGTTATTTTGTTGTTTTTCAATGTCAGTCAGTTAATATTTCTCTTCAAGAACAAGCACTTTTTGACACCTCTTCTGTCCTATAAAGAAAGGCATTGCATTTCCATAAGGATAATGAATATTATATAAAGGAAAAATAATTGATGACCAATCAGGTCTTTGTTGCCTCAAGCAAATCAGATATGGGTATTACTAGTTATGGTACTACAAATTCTGTTAATGTCACCACAAAGAAAATATCTTTAAGAATTTTGATATTTGGAATTTGTTATAGAATTTATTATAAGCTGCAGCTTATAGATAATTTCATCTACTGTCGTAGGTAGAAGTAAAATCTGGAGAAGAAGATGAAGAAATTTTGTTTAAAGAGAGAGCCAAACTTTATAGATGGGATCGAGATGTCAGTCAGTGGAAGGAACGTGGTATTGGAGATATAAAGATTCTCTGGCATACAATGAAGAACTATTATCGGATCCTAATGAGAAGAGACCAGGTCTTTAAAGTGTGTGCAAACCATGTTATTACCAAAACAATGGAGTTAAAACCGTTGAATGTTTCAAATAATGCTTTAGTTTGGACTGCCTCAGATTATGCTGGTGAGTTTCTACATTTAAATGCCACTTTTCTTTTTTTGGACTTTCTTAATTAAAATCCATAAAAACATGTAAAACAGTTTACAGTGGTTATTTTAATACTAAGGTTTCTCCTACCCCCCTCCCCCCAAATAGATGGAGAAGCAAAAGTGGAACAGCTTGCAGTGAGATTTAAAACTAAAGAAATGGCTGATTGTTTTAAGAAAAAATTTGAAGAATGTCAACAGAATTTGTTGAAACTACAGAAAGGACAGGTGTCATTGACAGCAGAATTATCAAAGGAGACCAATCCTGTGGTGTTTTTTGATGTTTGCGCGGATGGTGAACCTCTAGGGCGTATAACCATGGAATTATTTTCAAACATCGTTCCTCAGACTGCTGAGAACTTCAGAGCACTGTGTACTGGAGAGAAAGGCTTTGGTTTCAAGAACTCCATTTTTCACAGAGTGATTCCAGATTTTGTTTGCCAAGTAGGTATTAACTATATATTACAATTGAAATCTACAAGATTCCACACTATCTTGGAAAATTTGAACATTTCTCCTAGACCTCATCCTGTAGTTTTCTTGATGTTTCTCTAGCTTTTCCTCACATTAGTTGACATTACAACTCCACTCCCTACCCCTGCCAGAAACGGTTTCAACCTAAAATGATTTGAATTTTAATACTTGAAACCTGATAGAAACTGAGGATGGGGGAAAGACCTTTTTATTTTTTATCTTCTTTCCAGAAATATGTTATTTCTTACTTTTCAAACTGCATTCTTAAGGAGGCTGGGTGTTTGGGATTTATCCTGTAGTGATGAGTTCTGTGTGTATTTAAATGTTTTACTCAGCATTCCTATTAATTGAAATCTTTTTCAGGGGGGAGATATCACCAAACATGATGGAACAGGAGGAAAGTCCATTTATGGAGATAAATTTGAAGATGAAAATTTTGATGTGAAACATACTGGTCCTGGCTTACTATCCATGGCCAATCGAGGCCGGGATACCAATAATTCTCAATTTTTTATAACACTGAAAAAAGCAGAACATTTGGACTTTAAGCATGTAGTATTCGGTTATGTTAAGGATGGCATGGATACTGTGAAAAAGATTGAATCATTTGGTTCTCCTAAAGGGTCTGTTAGTCGAAGAATTAGTATCATAGAATGTGGACAGACATAAAATCATTGTTTTTTGTAGTAAATTTTATCTGTATAAGTGGTTGAATTGAAGCTTAGTTATAGACAATATGATGATTATGTTCAGCTTTTGAAAACGGACATTTCTGATGTATAAATGTAAAATTGCAGCTTATAGCTGTTCTCACTTTGTAATGTGTTATAATTGACCTTGCATGGTGTGAAATAAAAGTTTAAATATGATGATTATGTTCAGCTTTTGAAAACGGACATTTCTGATGTATAAATGTAAAATTGCAGCTTATAGCTGTTCTCACTTTGTAATGTGTTATAATTGACCTTGCATGGTGTGAAATAAAAGTTTAAATATGATGATTATGTTCAGCTTTTGAAAACGGACATTTCTGATGTATAAATGTAAAATTGCAGCTTATAGCTGTTCTCACTTTTTAATGTGTTATAATTGACCTTGCATGGTGTGAAATAAAAGTTTAAACACTGGTGTATTTCAGGTGTACTTGTGTTTATGTACTCCTGACATATCTGTATTAAAATGGAATGATACTAATCATGTTAAAAGCAATAGACCTTCACAAACTATTGAAGGAATATGATATATGCAATTTAATTTTGATTTCTTCTAAGATATTTGGACTTCCTGAATGGATATATTTACCATCTGGATAAAGGGACCACAACTTGGATAATCCTATTTTAGATTTGAAATATATTTGGTAATCTTAACTATTGGTGTGCTCGTTTTTGCATAGAGATTCATTTATGAATGGGTAGAGCCACAGAAGGTAGAGATTTAACCAAAGTGCTCTTCTATAATCTTTACACCATCTGTATAGTTACAAGTTAACTTTTTTGAGTACCTTCTTTTCTTAAAAAAAGTAGCTTCCTTTGCCCTTTCAAAGGTATTAAATTAATTTTTACATTTTAAACACGTTTACTATATCCTTAGATTTTTAAAAAATCTTCTGTCATCTGTCTCTACTACCTCAGAAACTGCACCTTGGTTCTGATGATAGAAATTGAATTTTTCCTTGCAGTTATTGTGATAAAATATGAATATTTTCAAAAGGTCTATACCATGTTCTTTGGTTAAAGATTTGCTTTATACTAGACTGTTGCAGTACCTTTTTCTGGTGAATTTTGTAGCAGAAATAAAGTGACAATTGATAACAGCCATGATATTTAAACATTTTATTAAACTTGTGCATCTAGTTGTCTGTTTATTACAGTGCTAGACAAGTAAAGTAAGGATGACAGTTAGAGGTCAATGAACTCAAATTGCCACGGGGTTTGCATACCTCTCAAGGAAGTGACTTCTCAAGTTTGATATACACTGAAAATGTATTTGGAAATGGCTTGTGTCAAAAGTTAGGCAAACTGCTCAAGAAAGGGGATGTTCTTATCTTATTACTCAGTATAGAACTATAAAGAATCCAGTTAGAGGGCTGGCCGGTTAGTTCACTCTTGGGAGCACAGTGTTGATAACACCATCAAGGGTTATCAAGGCCAAGGGTTCGATCCCCGTACCAGCCAGCCGCTGAAAAATCCAGTTATAGCACAAAATTTTGTATATTCCAATCATGAACAATAAGTGTCTTCCATCCTTCGGTGTTCTTCCCAGTAAAGTTATCTCATTTTGCTTAGTGAGGTGAGACAGTTTGGTTTATTCCCTGTAATATAGGGACATGGAAATAGCATATCCTGTAATAAATAGCTGTACAATCACCAGTCAAATGAGGGGAGGGAGTATATCATGTGTGGTTTCTGTGAGTAATGAGTGATGGGACACCATCACTAAATCAACCTGGACACAAAGCCAGATGTCTGAAACAAACCTTCCCCAAATATGTCAGTGGAACTACTTGAAACTTAAAAGAGAACAGACTACATATATGCACTCTTTTATTTAGAATTGGCTTCTTTGGAAATCTGTATAATATAAATTGATGTAAAATGTGTTGTAACTTTTCAGCTGAGATGGTTGATGACTTTGTTTTGATTTTAGAATAAATTTTAAGTAAATTGAAATGCTTTTTAAGAGACTTTTTACAGATTTCTATGCAATCCTAAAGGATTAGAGTTACAAATTAAAAAGCTATAAAAACTTTGACCAAAAATTTGACAAAATAACATGTAAACTGTTTTTTCCGGTATTAGTATTCCAAAGTTGCTTAAAAGTGGCTTTATAAGAAAGTCTTTGTGTCAAATTTCAGGAAAGGACTTTTCTGTTATTTAATCACTGATGTGGTTTAAGCCCACGATAAGTATTTTTGTTTTTTAAAAACTAGCTGAATTTTATATTGTCTCAGTAAAATATGCTTAAAGATAGAATAAAGTAATTACTTGTATATTTTAAGTAATACTTTATGGCAAAACAGTACCGGTTTAAATAATTTTAAGATAATAACTACTTTGCTAAGGTATCATTTGTATATGATTTGGGCATTTGAGGAATTTAAAAAAATGATTCAGAGAATTTAGGAGTTTTTATTCCAGACGTGCAGTTGATAATCAGTTTACAAAAGTAAAGGTTACACTAGTGTAACTATGAACAAGAGAAATTAAGTGGTTGTGCAGTTGTCCCCCTCACTCAGTTTAGTACTGGTTTTCAGGTCGATATACCATTCCAATAAATAATGAGTACTATGCACTGTTGTTGGCACTGGGGAAAGATGTTTAAAGAACAAAGTACACAGTGGTGCATTGGACTTGAAGAGGGAGAGAGGATACTTAGGGATACAAAATGGGGGAGGCGGAGGGAGGTCGGGGATTGAGTGGGGGACATGGGGTATAATCGCAATTTGCGGTAATTGGCATGCTGCCAGTATTGATCTGGCCATCACATCTTGGGCACGGGTGGTGACGATCAGCTTTGTATCCATAAATATTCATAACCAACAACAACAACAAAAAAAACCATTAAAAACAAAATACATGCTTTCAGGGAAGCTTATATTCTAATACTTTTTAGTACCGTTATAGCACACGTGGAACACAGGCAGGGGAAGCATTCCGATACATTCGTGACTTCCTTTTACAGGACAGCTAGCAGAGGCCGCCTGGGATGTAAAGACAAGCATAGCTAGCTAAGTGCAAACGCGCATGGAACGTGAGGTGTGTTCCAGCGGGCTGGTTCCGAGCACCTGGGGTCTTCGGAAGATGTGGGGAGCCGACGGGCAGGACGCTACTCGCAAGGGGAGATACAGCGCCACTCATCACTATTAAATCTTCCAGCACAAAAAAAAATCCAACGCGAGGACGCTCGAGTAGGCCCGGCCGCAGCACCGCTGGGCCTTTAGGCACCGCCCGCCGTCGCCGCGCGCACCCCGAGGGGCGGGGCCGGCCTGCGTCCTGACGCACCTGCGCTGCGCGACCCCGCCCCCGCGCGCCGTCCCGCGGGTTTCGACGCCGTTTCCGGGGAGACAGCCGAGGTGGAGGCGCGGTATGGAGCCGCGGCTCGTTAAGCCGCCGGGCCAGGATTTGGTAGTGGAGCGTCTGAAAAGTCGCTACGGACTCGGGGGCAGCTGCCTGGGCCAGGTGAGGCCGCCGCCCCGGGCGTCGGGACGTCGGGGCATCGGGGCGGGGGTCCGGGCCGTGGCGGCGTCCCCTTCCCACAAGACCACCTTTCCCGGAGCCGCTGAGCGTTTCGGACGTGAGGCGGAGGCGGTGCCTTAGGACAGGAATGAATTCAGAATAGCCACGCAATGCCTGTTTTGAGTCGTCTTGTTTGAAAGAAATTCAAACTTGCCAGAGTAGTAGGGAGCGCTCCTGTGCCTTCGCTTGGGGCCACAGGTGGTTAACACCTGCCGGACCGCTCTCTCCCCCTTTCGTCCCCACGCAGACGTTTCCTCTGAACAGTTTGAGGGTAATTCGCAGGCGTCACGCCCTTGCCCCTAAGTATAAATACTTCAGTGTGTTCTTCCTAAGGATAAGGTTACTCACTTCTCTAACCACAGTGATATTGTCTCTTGTTGCCTTTAATCTGGAACAGGTTCCCAGCCTTTCTTTTTCGTAACAGTGGTTTTTTGAAAAGTGTAAGACAGTTATTTGTTAGAATACTCCTCAGTTTGGGTTTGTCCGAGGATTAGATTCATGGTTAGATTCCGGTTAGGCGTTTTTGGCAGGAATGCCAAATGAGCGATATGTGGCTTGCTCTGATGAATCGAGAGGTACATGATGTTGGTTTGTCCCATTACTGGTGATGTTAACTTTGATCATTTGGTTAAGGGGGTGTCTACCAGATTTCTTCACCCTAACCTTTGTAATTTTACTTTTGTAATTAGTATATAATTTGTGGAGAAGTATTTTGAGACAGTGGGCTCTTAGTATACAAATTAAATAAGTGGTTTTTTAAAAATATGATTTTTCATATTTTGATCAGGTTAAATCTAACAGAAGATCGCTTACCTCCCCAGGTAAGGCAATAGAGTATTTTGTATATTTGGTGTTCTAACAAACTTATTTTGAGATAAAAGATAAAAAATAAAACTGTTTAGACTTACGGCTACTGCCAGATATCTTGTTTCATTAACCTTTTTAGTCTAGTAATAAACCAATAGCAATCATGATTTTAGGGATAAATGTGTAAGGTGTTATTAAAAAACAAATTTAATGAATTATTTTGGTATTTCTAGTTACAGTATTTCTGCCTTTTAAGATGTTAAAAATTAGACTACAATGGGTATAGAAAACTAATTGCTGTTTTTCAAGCATAAACTTTTCTAAGTTATTAGGATAGTAATTGTTACACCAGAAAAGGAATTTATCAAATAATTGTACTTGAAAAAGATAACTATACTGTGGGATTGGGTAGGTTGATATTACTATATATTAACCAACTATTAATTTGTTAATACTTATTAGATAATGTCTTTACTAGTAAGTATAATCATTAAGCTTTGGGAGAATTGCAGCAGAAATTGTAGTTAGTATCTTTAAAAGTTCATCAGATGGTCTATTAGGCAATTTTATTTTTCTGCAAGCTTATTTCATTTTGAATCTTTGTGAAATGTAAATCATTTATTGATGTTTTCCTTGGTGGGTTACACCAGCTAATTGGATCATTAAAGTGAGTTGATCTGGAAAACATTCTTGTGAAACAATCCTTCAGTGTGGGAAAATCAAAAAATTCCAGATATTACTGAGTCCATTATCTTAAAAAAATTTTAATTTAAAATTGTA